AAAAATTATAATATAATAGAAAAATGGTCCAGTAAATGGGAATTCTGGGGGCGCTGCCTGATCCATACCACAGTCAATAGAGTACCAAGTTCACACATCGCTGAGCTCGGTCGCAGAATCGTCGCTGTCGTCACTTTCAGTGTCTGATGACGAATTTCCCAACGAATTGCTATCACTCAATTCTGCAAGTGATTCTAATTTACTATCGCTGTTTTCTACCTGGTCTAAAACCACTTTGACCTAAAGGGACGCTTTTTGGATGCCATAAATGTTCTCAAGTTTCCAGGCAGAAAGAATAGTAAAAGTGCAGGCAGGGCACTGTACAAAGCTCCAGGGACAAAATTGAAGTGAAATAGTTTGATACATATATGTAATTATAGCAGATTACATTGTATTCTGTGCATTCTGTGTAAATGTCATGTTTGCACTTTTGAATGCCACTGATTAAGACAATCTCACAGGAAAAAACCCAGTCCAAATCAACTACAACAGAAAAAAAACCACTAAATGTTTTATAGAACATCCACCTTAAATTTTCTATTTGGATTAAAACCATTCTTTCCCTTAATGTTCTAGAGAAAAGAGTAATAAAGAAAAGAAAACAAGAACCCAAAACCCCTCCCAACCCTAAACCAAACCAAACAAAAAAAAAAGGAAAGAAAAAGGAAATTTTCCAGTCTCATCTTCTCCTCCCCTATCTCCTCACCCCCCTTCCCCCTGATGGCCATACAGATAAACCTCACATTCCTGGTAAGCACATAATAGTAATGTCAAGCTTTATCCGTGGATTCCATGTCCCCATTAATTGTGGGTACCTATCCTGAGATTGTGCTCCTAACTCTTCTCAAGAAGTTCATTTCTTTAACCCATTCTTTGATTTGCGGGGTATCTTGGGACCTCTAATATCTAGCTATTACTGTTCTTGCAGCAAATAAAAAAATCTAAATAGGCCTTTCTTAGCTTCTTTAATTGGGCCCGGTACAATAGTCAACAACGCAATAACAGGTGTAAAAAGTCCCTGAACCTTAATAAAATGTGCTCCTATTTTATAAACCATTTCCCAAAAAGGTTGAATCTCTTGACAAGACCACCAAATATGTAACATAGTACCTTTCTCTACTCCACATCTCCAACATCGATCCGATATGTTTGGGAAGATCTTATGTAGTAAAGTGGGGTATCTATACCATCTTGTCAATATCTTAAAATTCCGTTCCTGAATGTAACTCGAAATAATCAATTTAAATGTTAACAAAAAAGATCAATTCCAATCATCTTGAGATAATCTATAACCCAGTTCTGTTTCCCATCCCCTTACATAAAACGGTCTATCTGCAAATGCTTGAGTCAAGAGAATATGATATATCTTTGATAGTTTATGTTTGCTTTCCTTTTGGTTCATACACAGAGCCTGAAAGGAGGTAATTTCTCGCCTAAGAGGGTTAAATCTCGAGAGGCCCGTAATGTAGTGTTTAAGTTGAAAGTATGCATACCACTGTCCCCGTGTGGAACCACCTTCTGGGATCAGAAGAGATAGGGGATATATCCCATACGGTCCATTATAAAAACCTTAGGCAAGCTAACCCTGCCGGGAAATCTGGGATACTTAATATAGGAGAGAGAGGTCCTTCATAGTCTGATATATAATTTTCCTGTCCTGTCCCAGATTTTCATTAGTGTCCTAACCAATAGAGGTAAAGGCCCCTAAATCATGGGGTCGAAGTCCATACTAATGGAGTAGCTATTTGTTCATAGATATCCCCAATTTGTTTCTGGTAGGGGAAAACCAGTCTGTAATGCGGGTTAACACTGCTGCCCAATAATACAGCTCCATATGTGGAAGACCTGCTCCCCCATCCTGTCTATGCATTACTAGTATATCATGTCTTAATCGTGGTGAAGTAGATCCTCACACATATTTGATCATAGCTGCCCTCAGGGTTCTAAAATGAGATCTTGGTATTTTAATCGGGATAGTTTGAAATAAATCAATAAATCTTGGTAAGATATCCATTTTAATCAGCTCCATCCTTCCTATCCACAAGTGCCTTTTCGGGCCCCAACTATTTAATCTGTGCTGCATCTCTTCCAATTATTGCGTATAA